CCTTTCCTTTTCCTCTTCGTCTCTGAATCCAAGGGAAGCCCCTTCCCTTTCTTCCCTTCCCCGCGCGAGGAAGGGGGGGTCCCGTTCCTTTTCCTCGTCGTCTCTGAATCAAAGGGAAGCCCCTTCCCTTTCTTCCCTTCCCCGCGCGGGGGGGGTGTCCCGGGGGGGGGTAGCGAGGGGGGTCCTGGGTCAGATACGCCGCCCTCCTGGGGATCCTCGGTCAGAGGGAACACCCTTCCCTTTCTTTCCTTCCCCGCGCGGGAGGGGGGGTCCCGGAGGGGTAGCGAGGGGGGGTAGCGAGGAGGGTTAGCGAGGGGGGTCCTGGGTCAGATACACCGCCCTCCTGGGGCTTCTCGGTCAGATACATCGCCCTCCCGGATTCGCAATGTCGCCTCTGAATCAAAGGCAAGCCCTTTCCCTTTCTTCCCTTCCCCGCGCGAGGGCAGGGGGGGTCCCGGGAGGGGGTAGCGAGGCGGGGTAGCGAGGGGGGTAGCGAGGAACAGAGGCACCTGAGATGCCCATCAGACGTTCCAAGAGGCATCTCAAATTAACACGCTACTCTCGTGTTAAATTCTGTCCTTCGGGTCTTTGTGCCGACGACGACGACGACGACGAGGACGACGACGACGACGCGTGCGACGTCGACGACGACGACGACGCCGACACGAGGACAGAATTTAAGACGCCACTCTCGTGTTAAGTTCTGTCCTTGGGGCCCTAGTGCCGACGCGACGACAAGGACGACGACGACGACGTCAAGTGCGACGTCCACGACGTCGACGTCGACGACGACGACGACGACAACGACGACTCGAGGACAGAATTTAACACGCCACTCTCGTGTTAAATTCTGTCCTTCTGGTCCTGGTGCCGACGACGACGACGACGATGACGACGAGGGCGACGACGAAGCGTGCGACGTCGACGACGACGACGACGACGACGACCACGGACGACGAAACGAAATTAACACGCCACTCTCGTGTTAAATTCTGTCCTTCGGGTCCCTGTGCCGACGACAACGACAAGGACGACGCGTCGTCGTCGCGACGACGGGTGCGACGACGACGACGACGACGACGACGACGACGACGGACGACGACGACGACGACGACGACGACAGGAGGACAGAATTTAACACGCCACTCTCGTGTTATATTCTGTCCTCGGGGTCCTCGTGCCGACGACGCGGACGACGACGACAACACGAGGACAGAATTTAACACGCCACTCTCGTGTTAAATTCTGTCCTGGAGGCCCGGTGCCGACGGCAACGACAAGGACGACGACAACGACGACGGGTGCGACGTCGACAACGTGACGGGTGCGACGTTCGTCGTCCCTGCCTGCTCCATCCATCAACTCTTGCTCCCCCTTCTCTACCTTTTCCATTTCTCCTCCGCATATTCATGCTCCTCTTGCTCCTCCTCCCACCTGTTCCTCCTCCTTCACTCCTCCGTCTCCTCCTCCTCCCGGCCCTCTCCCCCCCGTTTCCCTCGAGAGCCGATGCCTCCAGGGTCGGCGGCACAGGCCGTGAGGCCAGCGCAATAAAACAGCAGTTCGCCAGGCAAGCCGGGCAGCGAAAGATACAGCTCCAACGTGCGCCAACAAAGAGTGGCTCGCCATTCTTGATTCCCTCTGGGGCCGCGCTTGGGGCATCCCAGAGCATGCCTGGGCTCTCGTCGGGCCCCCGTCTGATGCTGCTTCTCGTGGCCATTGTGGGCTCTCCCCTGGAACCTCGCGGGGCTCCCTTGGGGGTCTGGGGGCAGTCTACGGGGGGATCTGGGGGCCGTCTGGGGCTGCCTTGCGGCAATCGTGGGGCAGCCTTGGGCAGTTCCGGGGGGGCGGACCGACATTTCGGGCCTTCTGGGCGGGCAAGGCGCCACCTAGAGGCCCCGCAGAGCCAGTGGAAGAGGCCTCGAAGAGGCACCACGCCGGCCGACGAGAATCCGAAGAGGCTCCCTCGCAGCCGTCTTGGAGCCTTCTGAAGCCGAGAACCCTGAAAAGCCAAAGACATTGATTGACGATTGGCCTGGGGCATGTTTTTCCCTCTTCCCAGTCGTGTACTGGACCCTCTCCTAGGACGCTTCTTGGAGCCTGTGTGGTCTTCTTCGGGGCCTCTTGGAGCCGCTCGGAACATCTTGGAGCCCTCTCGGGTAGCTCTCGGAGAAAGTTTTGGCAATGTCGGGCCGATATTGGAGGCTGTGTTGGGCCATCTTGATGGCCCCATGGCGCCCTCTTGGTGCTCGTAGGGCTCGCCAGGGGCCTCTCGAGGAGCCGCCAGTCGGCTGATGCACAGACCCTCCTCGCACGAACGGGGCTCCGCAATGCGTATAAGCATACGAGACCAGAGTGGGCCCATGGAATAATCCATGGCACGCAGCCGGATCTGATCGGAATCCTCCCAGCGGCCTCAAGAGATTACTCGCCGCAAGCAAGGGTAGAGATCGCTGGCCTGCTTGCCTGCACGTGTGCTCTCGAGACTGCGCATGGTGGCCTGACAGCTTGCCGCCGCATGCTTCATCTGCTTACTGATGCGACGTGCTGCTGGCACTCGCTGCTGCTCGGTAGCGGTCGCTGCTGCTCGCTGCCGCGCGCTGCTGCGCATTCCTGCAGGCCTGGGGGGTCCCCAGAAGAGATATCCTGGGGCCACCTCTGGGGAATTCGAAGGTGATATGGGAGATCTGTTGAAGCATCTTGGAGAAATGTTGGAGCTGTCGTGGGACCTTGCCAGGCCATATTGGGATTGCTCAAGGCTTCGCGGGGCCCTTGGCAGAGGCCTGGGGGTACTCTGAAATGGTTCCTTGTGGGGCAATATTGCAGCGGGCGTGGGCAGTCTTGGAGCCGCATTGGGACTATCTTGGAGGCTAGGGTACCGCGCTGCTGATTGCTCGTAATACACGCAGCCCTTTGGGCATAAGTGGTTTACCGAATGGCCATCCTTCGTAGTTCGTATATGACATTGCTCTTCCTCCTCCTCCTCCTCCTCCTCCTATCATCACCATGCTCCTCCTCCTCGTCGTCCTCCTCATCAGCATCATCATAAGCAGCAGCAGCATCATCACATCGTCCTCCTCCTCCTCCTCCTCATCAGCATCGTCATCATCAGCATCAACATCATCATCACCATCTTCATCGCATCATCAGCACCATCATACGCAGCATTAACATCATCACCAGCAGCCTCCTCCTCCTCCTCCTCCTCCTTCCTCCCCCAACTCCTGCTCATCAGAATCATCACCTCGTCATCGTCATCATCACCACCACCACCACTATCATCATCGTTTTCAGCAACAGCAGCATCATCACCTCCTCACCCTCGTCGCCACCACTACCGCAACCACCACCACCAACATCATCAGCAACATCATCATCATCATCATCAGCAACATAATCATCATTGTCATCGTCAGCGTCATAGTCACCGTCATCGTCATCATCATCGGCATCGTCATCACCACCATCGTTATCCTCATCCGCATCCTCATCCTCATCACCATCCTCAGCATCATCATCATCCGCATCCGCATCGTCATCATTAGTCTCATCATCATGATTAGCATGATCATCCTCATCGTCGTATCCATCTGCATATTCGTCACCAGCTCAGCATCATCGTCAACCTCTTCACCATCAAGATCATTATCATCACCACCACCATCATCATCATCATCATCATCATCATCATCATCAGCATCATCGTCATCAGCATCACCATCCTCATCATCATCATCATCCTCCTCCTCATCCTCATCATCCTCATCCTCCTCTTGATCCTCCTCATGATCATCATCATCGTCATCAGTATCAACATCATCATTGTCATCATCATCGTCCTCCTTCTCCTCATATCCTGCACCCCGCTTGCTCCCTCGTCCGAAGACTCTGGCCGCTCTGTCCAGCAAAGCACACTGCGTTCGAAGTGAAACACTTCTCGCATTTGGTAATTCGGTCCACGAGTTTCCCAGAGGCTAGTGCTTGGTCACTCTTGAGGGGCGGAATCCTCTAACTCCAGAAGCCAACATCTTTGTCGTTGACGCCTGCTCGTTTCTGTCACCGCTGAGGTGAAGGACTCCAGGGTGATCCAGAAAGGCCTTCGCATTCTTCCTGTGGGTGGCCCTCCTATTCATCCAGAGAGCTTGAAGGGGAGCGTAAAAGTGATGGCCCCGCAGTCCGCCCCACACCCAACCTCCTGCTACACAGAGCAACTTTGTCTTTCTTTGAGAAAGGCAACTCGCCCAGGAACCGACTCTGGATGGGCTGGTGGTGACTCGCGAAGCGTCAAGAAGTTCCACTGCTTGATGCTGCCATCTTGGTGCCCTGAAGAGACCCTCCAGGGACTGTACCTCTTGGGGTCGTCTCCAATTTCTCAGGGCAGGGCGACCCAAGGTCCTGTGAAGTGTTTCCTAGAGTCATGTTGGGCAGAAAGTCCTGAAGAGCAAAGCCACACCGGAACATAAAATGATGGCATCTATATTGCTTACTGTGTTGGGCCTCTCTGAGACACATTCGGGATCATGGTGAGGCGTGCTGATACAGTGTGCTGCCTTCTGCTACTTGCTGGTGTTGCCTGCTGGTACTGCTGGCTGCTACCGCATGTTGCTGCTGGCTGCGCGAATCAAAACGTGAAGAGAACTGGGGCGCTCATGATGATGCTGCTGTTGGCCTTGCTCCAGCTGGGCCTGGAAGCTGTGCGGGTGGGGCAAAGGCGAAAACGAACAGAACATGAAATTGAGGACTTCGCGAACAAGTTTGCACGGCAATGTAAATGAGACGCTGCCGCTGAACTTTGAAAAAACGTCTCCCAAATCGCTGGACAATGGCAATGCCTGCGTTACATGACTGCTTTTACCGCCCGCGCGGGCCGATCCGAACTTGACGGCAAGAGTAGGGTGACCCGTGGATGACCCCATCGCAAGCAAGTGCTGCAATGTTGTGGTTGTCTTGGGTTGGGCCTGACTTGGGCCAGCGAGAGGAGGACGCGATAAGAAAACATATAACTAATCGCTTCGACGAGTGTGACCGTCTTGGACTCTTCCAGGTCGCGCTGGGGGCGTGTCGGGGCCGTCAGGGCGCCCTGCGGGCCTCTTGAGCGGCTCTGCCTCGAGAGTCATGCTTACACTGGTCGCATTTGTCGCACGCACTACTTCGGATAGTGTATAAGAGACGACGTCGGGCTCCAGCTTCGCATCCATCATCTCGCAGAGCAGCGCTAAAGCCCACTGCCACTGTTTGCTCTTCTCGCACGCGCTGACGACAACGTTGTAGCTGATGGGCGTGGACCCGTGAATTATTTCCATGGTGGGCTGCACCATCATCTTGCTATGTATTGCCGATGTTATTTGCAGAAGGCGCGCGATATTCCTTGCGGTTTCAAATCCATGCTGCTGCTGAGGATTGCTGATGTAAAGAGATGATGTTTACTACTGTTTGCGGCTGCTGTCCTGTGACTACCTCACCTGGCTGCTGCTAACCCAGTTGAGGATGACTCAGCTGCGTGGTTGCTGCGCTCTGTGGCGCGTACAGTCTTGATGCTGTCTTGGGGCTGTCTTGGGACTTTCTTGGGCGTGCTGCTACTGTTTGCTGGTGGTTGCCTCTGTAGGCTATTGCCTCAGCCCGATGCTGCTAGCTCTGATGCTTATGGCTCTGGCTTGTGCTTTCTGGGAGAGCTGGCTCGTCCTGCCTTGGTGCTCGCTGGGAGGCACGTCGTGGGGCTACACGCCGTGGCCTCCTTGAGCTCCCTCGGAGCGCTCTTTTTGGGGGGGGCCTCTCCTCTCGGGGCTGCCTTTGGGGCCCCTTGGGAGCCTCTCGGGGCCCAGCTTGGGACAAGAGGGCCGCCTGGAAGCATCCTGGGGGAACCTCGGGGGCGGCCTTGCTGAAGGGGCACAAACACACACACACACACACACACAAAAAAAAAAAACAGGATTCCACATATTTTCACAGATTTTCTGCGTTTCTGTCTTTCCCCCCACTGTCCATATTTTCCCATATGTCCCTGGGAATTGGCGATTCATTGTGTCTGTGTGTTTTTTCCCCTCCTGACTTGTGGCGTCTTGGAGCCGACTGGGGACCAGCGTGGCTGCCGGCAGAAGGCCATCTCAGGCCACTCTGGCGGCACCTGTGGCCCTCTTGGGGGCTCGTGCGGGCCTCTGGGGCCCTCTTGGGAAGCTCTGGGGCTCGTCGGAGCAGTGTGAAGCCTTGGCATGGGAACAGCACAAGAGGCACATGAACGACTGGAGCTGTGCGATGCTCACATCCAGGAAGCCCTGCGCGGAACCATCTCGGAGCCGCCCGGGGCCTCCCTGGCACTACCTTGCTGGCCCGTGGGCTCTCTTCCGCGACAGTGCGCCCGAACTGTTCGTTGCTGGCCTGTTCGCCAGGGAGCCAGACAGCGAGAACGACAGCTAAAGGACCGGGCGCTCAGCTTGAACAGGCCAGTCGAACACAAGGCTGGGGTTCGCTCGCCTGGCTGCCTGCTTTTGCGCTTCCATCCAGCAACGGCAGCCCGTGAAGCTAGTGTCCAGGGTGTCTGCTGCCTGGGGGAGCGACTGCGCTGCAAGCACGAGGGAGGGGGATGAATGAGAGAGGAGGGCGGGCAGGCGAATGTGGAGGAACATGTGTCGCAGGAAGAGGACCAAGGATCCGACGTGTCTTGCAGCTGCCCTTCCAGGAGGAACGATGAGAGGCCCTGTGCCTCCCCTTCGGGGAAGAAGGAGGCCCTCTGGAGGCCTCTTGGACTGCCTCGGAGCCTTCTTGGGCTCTCTTGGGGCCCTCGTTGGCGACCTCTTGGGGTCATCTTGGGATCCCTCGGGACCCTCGTGAGCCTCCTACGTTGTGGGGAAGTCTTGGGCCCTCTCGAAGGCTCAGTTGGGCCTCTAGGGCTCCCTTGGGCGGGCTCAGAGATCAGCACTGGAGAGTGCCAACAATATACGATATACCCTCCCAAGTATTATGCCCACCAGGTCTCACGCTTACAGCCAAAGTGGTATATGTTGGCGCTGCCGTGGCGCCAACTGGGGGCGTATAGGTCGTGTTGAACCGTCGTGGGGCCTGCTGCTTTGCCGTCTGAACCGCTTCCTCGAGGCTTTTTCGAATCGCATGGACCGTCTAGGATTGCCTGGGCCTGCCGCTTGGCCCTCAGTAGGCTGGCCGCTCGATAAGCGAGGTCCCTCTTCGCACGTGCGGCTCTGAGCATTGTATATATGATGGCGACGTGAGGTTCGAAGTAGCCTTCACCAACTCGCTGAGCAGCGCCACAGCCCGCTGCAACTGCAAGCCCTTCTCGACCACCATCGCCATCCTCCTAAAAATAAGAATCAGCATCAACATCAGCATCAGCATCATCATCATCATCATCATCATCATCAGCAGCAGCAGCAGCAACATCAGCATCATCATCAGCGGCAGCAGAAGCATCATCATCACCACCACCACCATCATCATCATCATCATCATCATCATCATCAGCATCATCACCATTACCATCATCACCATCATCAGCATCATCAACATCAGCATCATCATCAGCATCAGCAGCATCATGATCATCATCAGCAGCATCAGCATCGACACCATCATCATTATCACAACCACCATCATCAGCATCACAATCATCATCAGCAACATCAGCATCATCGTAATCTTCATCATAATCATCAAAATCATCGTCATCAGCTTCAGCATCGATATCAGCATCGGCATCAGCATCAACATCCTCATATTCATAGTCACCATCATTCCCATCATCATAATCAGCATTATCATCCTCATCGTCGTATTCATTAACATGTTCGTCGCCATCATCAGCATCATCAGCATTATCACCATCACAATCATCATCGTCACCACCACCATCATCATCAACATCAGCATCAGCATCATCAGCATTATTATCATCCTCATCCTCATCCTCAGCCTCCTCCTCCTCCTAATCATAATCATCATCAACAACATCATTATCATCATCATCGGCATCATCATCATCATCATCATCATCATCATCATCATCATCATCATCATCGTCATCATCATCGCAGTCGTTGTCGTCGTCATTGTCGTCATCATCGTCTCTCTTCCGCCTCATATCCTTCACCCCGCTCGTTCCCTCGTCCGAAAACTCTGGCCGCTCTGACCGGCAAAGCACACATAGTAATGAAACACTTCTCCCTTTTCTTAACTCGGTCCACGAGTTTCCCAGAGGCTAGTGCTTGGTCACTCTTGGTGGGCGGGATCATCGGACTCCAGAAGCCAACATCTTTGTCGTTGACGCCTGCTCATTTCTGTCACCGCTGAGGTGAAGGACTCTAGGGTGATCCAGAAAGGCCTTCGCATGCTTCCTGTGGGTGGCCCTCGTGCTCATCCAGGGAGCTGGAAGGGGAGCGTGAAAGTGATGGCCCCACTGTCCGCCCCACACCCACCCCCTGCTTCACAGTGCAACCCCGTCCTTCTCTGAGATCGCCCAGGAACCGACTCTGGATGGGCTGGTGGTGACACGCGAAGCGACAAGAATTTCCACTGCTTGCTGCTGCCATCATGGGGCCCTGAAGAAACCCTCCAGGGACCGGACCTCTTGGGGCCGTCTCCAATTTCTCAGGGCAGGGCGACCCACGGTCAAGTGAAGTTTTTCCTAGAGTCATGTTGGGCAGAAGGTTCTGAAGAGCGAAGCCACACCAGAACATAAAATGATGGCATCCGTAGTGTTTCCTGTGTTTGGCCTCTCTGGGACACATTCGAGATGATGGTGAGGCGTGCAGATGCATTGTGTTGCCTTCTGCCACTTGCTAAAGTTGCCTGCTGGCACTGCTGGCTGCTGCCGCATGTTGCTGTCGGCTGACCGAGTCAAAACGTGAAGAAAACCGGGGCGCTCATGATGATGCTGCTGTTGGCTCTGCTCCAGCTGAGCCTGGTAGCCGAGCGGGGGGAGCAAAGGCGGAAACGAGCAGAACATTCAATTGAGGACTTCGCAAACAAATTTGCACGGCAATGTAAATGAGACACGTTGCAGCAGATCTTTGAAAAAACGTCTCCCAACTCGCTGGACAATGGCAAAGCCTGCGTTACATGACTGCTTTGACTGCTCGCGCGGGCCGATCCGAGCTTGATGGCAAGAGTAGGGTGACCCGTAGATGACCCCATCGCAAGCAAGTGCTGCAATGTTGGGGTCGTCTTGGGTTGGGCTTGCCTTGGGCCAGCGAGAGGCGGAAGCTTTAAGAAGAATTTGTCACTAATCGATACGACGAGTGTGGCCGTCTTGGACTCTTCCAGTTCGCGCTGGGAACGTGTCGGGGCCGTCAGGGCGCCCTGTGGGCCTCTTAAGTGGCTCTGTCTCAAGAGTCACGCTTACACTGGTCGCCTTGCTCGCACGCACTACTTCGGATAGTGTAGAAGAGACGACGTCGGGCTCCAGCTTCGCATCCACCATCTCGCAGAGCAGCGCTAAAGCCCACTGCCACTGTCTGCTCTTCTCGTACGCGCGGACGACAACGTTGTAGCTGATGTGCGTGGACCCGTGGATTACTCTCATGGTGGGCTGCGGCTGCATCATCATCTTGCTACTCCATGGCTATGTTATTTGCAGAAGGCTCGTGCTACTCCTTGCTGTTTCGAATCCATGCTGCTGCTGAGGATTGCTGATGTTTACAGACTATGTTTGCTACTGTTTGGTGCTGCTGCCCTGTGATTGCCTCACCTGGCAAACAGCGAGAACGACAGCTAAAGGACCGGGAGCTCAGCTTGAACAGGCCAGTCGAACACAAGGCTGGGGTTCGCTCGCCTGGCTGCCTGCTTTTGCGTTGTCTTCCAGCAACGGCAGCCCGTGAAGCTAGTGTCCAGGGTGTCTGCTGCCTGGGGGAGCGACTGCGCTGCAAGCACGAGGGGGGGGGATGGATGAGAGAGGAGGGCGGGCAGGCGAATGCGGAGGAACATGTGTCGCAGGAGGAGGACCAAGGATCCAACGTGTCTTGCAGCTGCCCTTCCAGGAGGAACGATGGGAGGCCCTGTGCCTCCCCTTCGGGGAAGAAGGAGGCCCTCTGGAGGCCTCTTGGGACTGCCTCGGAGCCTTCTTGGGCTCTCTTGGGGCCCTCGTTGGCGACATCTCGGGGTCATCTTGGGATCCCTCGGGACCCTCGTGAGCCTCCTACGTTGTGGGGAAGTCTTGGGCCCTCTCGAAGGCTCAGTTGGGCCTCTAGGGCTCCCTTGGGCGGGCTCAGTGATCGGCGCTGGAGAGTGCTAACAATATACGATATACCCTCCCAGGTATTATGCCC